TTGTATTTTTGGCATTAGGAAAAATAATTAAATCCCGTTACAAAAGGCCGCGGCTTGCTTCAGTCTGTATGTCAATGGCCTTTTGAAAAAAATGGTTGCGTCGAGGGCGGGTCGGTTTCCGCTGTCATTGCCTGGGTTCTGCTCCAGGACTCCGACGCGGTGCGGAACCAATGTATGAGGGTCGCGGACATCGCCGGATTAATTTTCCTGAGAGGCCCTCGTCGCTGGTTCCTTTCGAGTTTCCCTGCGCCTGCGCCTGCGTCTGCCGCCTCCGCTCCGCCGCTCCTGCCTCGGGCTCGGGATAGGGCTCCGGGATGTCCGCGCTGTGCGACCCTCCCGGGGCCCCAGGGCCTCCCGGGCCTGCCCCGGCCACCCACGGTCCTGCGCCTCTCAGGTAGTCAGAGCCCCTGGCATCTTCCCCCACCGCGCGACCCCGCGCCGATCCCCCAGCCTTCTGGGCAGAAACCCGGATCCTACCTCGAGAACTCGCTTCAGGGTTCTCAGAGATTCCTGGTCGTGTTGCCTCAGAGCTCATGGATTGCCTTACCAAAACTCCGGCCTCCAGTGCCTGCCCTGCCAAGACCTTGGTCCTACCTGACCCTAGACCCTGGCCTTGCTCTCCCAAGAGTCAGGGATATCAGGACTCTGGGGAATCCAGCTGCCCTGCTCCTATTAGACCCTGTGGAATAGACACAGGGCCCTAACTTCAGGGAGACTCCCTGAGGGCCCAGGCCCAGAACCCACTGAATGCTTCCTTCTAGCTTTTCTATTTCACCCTGGAGGAGACAATCCCTTGTATTAGGGGTTTTTTTGTTTGTGGAACCAGAGTGGAATGGCATGGTCAGAGCCCTGTCAGCTCCTAGAGGGTGCTGTCGTCTTTGACGGAAAAGGTGATAAGAGAAAGGGCACTTGCCTCCTGTAACACTGGCTTCTGAACCTTGAAGACTGGACCCATATGTTTTGTGAGGGGGAAGGGTTGAAAAGCAGTATTACCTTGTCTGTGCCCTGGAACACCTTGAGTCCCAGGCACATGGAGGGTGCTGGGTAGGTGGTTGTTGATGCAGTGGTAGGGTTAGGGTTAGGATGTTAGCAGAATGTACGGGGAAACAGGTGTTAGGAGGGAGAGCCCTTAATGAGGGGCTTACGATTTTCTTCCCATTAAGAGCAGATTCCAATGTCCTTGTGGTGTTGGGGATAGTGTAGTGAAGCTGGAAAGGTGTTTTTAAAGCAGATATTACAGACTTTCTCAATTCAACAAATATTTATCAAGTACTTCCTATATACTTGTCACCTCAAAAGAAGGAGATTCCATGTTGAAGAGCACAGAAATGGTTCCAAGCTTCTTGGAATATATAGTCTGATTACTTAACCTTAATTTCCTTATCTGTAAAATTGGGTCATAATGCTACTACCTACCTTATTGAAGCGTTGTCAGGATTGAAGTAATACAATGTATTTAAAAGAGTGCCTGACACATTCTGTTACCTATTATTGATATTATTATTGTTGTCGCTGAAAAAAGAATAGCATTTATTCAGTGATTAGTGTGAACCAGGTATGGTACTTGAGTGCTTTACAAACATTCTCTTTTGAGGGAGGAGCAGCTATTATCCCTATTTTACGTAGAAAGAAACCGAAGCTCACAGAGGAACTGTAACTTCCTTAACATCTGACAACACTCCAGGTCTGTTTTCTTTTGCTTCCTTACAGTGCTCAGGAGCTGTCCCAGGAAATCAAGGCTTTTCTGACTGGCGTAGACCCTGTTCTGGGCCACCAACTCTCAGCCCGGGAACATGCTCGCTGTGGTCTCCTCCTGCTCCGTTCTTTGCCACCTGCTCGGGCTGCTGTGCTCGACCACTTGAGAGGTGTCTTTGATGAGAGTGTCCGGGCCCACCTGGCTGCCCTGGATGAAAGCCCTGTGGCTGGTCCACCTCACCTTCGTCCACCTCCACCCTCCCATGTCCCTGCTGGGGGACCTGGTCTAGAGGACGTGGTGCAGGAAGTGCAGCAGGTGCTGTCTGAGTTTATCCGGGCTAACCCAAAGGCCTGGGCGCCTGTGATTAGTGCCTGGTCCATTGACCTCATGGGGCAATTGAGCAGCACGTACTCAGGCCAACACCAGCGTGTGCCCCATGCCACTGGCTCTCTCAATGAACTGCTGCAGCTGTGGATGGGCTGTAGGGCCACGCGCACGTTAATGGACATCTATGTGCAGTGCCTCTCAGCTCTCATTGGTAGCTGCCCAGATGCGTGTGTGGATGCCTTGCTGGATACTTCTGTTCAGCATTCCCCACACTTTGACTGGGTTGTGGCACATATTGGCTCCTCTTTTCCTGGCACCATCATCTCCCGAGTCCTCTCCTGTGGCCTTAAGGACTTCTGTGTCCATGGTGGGGCTGGAGGTGGAGCTGGTGGTAGTGGTGTAAGCTCTTCTCAAACCCCCTCTACAGACCCCTTCCCTGGATCTCCTGCCATCCCTGGAGAGAAACGGGTGCCCAAGATCGCCTCAGTTGTAGGTATCTTAGGGCACCTGGCCTCCCGCCACGGAGACAGCATCCGACGAGAACTCCTACGAATGTTCCATGATAGCCTGGCGGGGGGTACTGGGAGCCGGAGTGGGGACCCATCCCTTCAGGCCACAGTTCCTTTCCTGCTGCAGCTGGCGGTCATGTCACCAGCTTTGTTGGGCACAGTCTCTGGAGAGCTCGTGGATTGCCTCAAGCCCCCAGCTGTGCTGAGCCAGCTGCAGCAGCACCTGCAGGGATTTCCCCGCGAGGAGCTGGACAACATGCTAAACCTGGCCGTGCACCTAGTGAGCCAGGCCTCTGGGGCAGGTGCCTACCGCCTGCTGCAGTTCCTGGTAGACACAGCTATGCCTGCTTCAGTCATTACCACCCAGGGCCTGGCTGTGCCAGACACCGTGCGTGAGGCCTGTGACCGGCTAATCCAGCTGCTGCTACTGCACCTGCAAAAACTGGTTCATCACCGGGGAGGGTCTCTTGGGGAAGGGGTGCTGGGCTCACCCCCACCTCCCCGCCCAGTGCCCTTTTTAGATGCGCTAAGAAACCATGTTGGAGAGTTATGTGGAGAGACTTTACGACTGGAACGGAAGCGCTTCCTCTGGCAGCACCAGCTCTTGGGCCTGCTATCTGTCTATACCCGGCCTAGCTGTGGACCTGAGGCCTTGGGCCATCTCCTGAGCCGAGCCCGAAGCCCTGAGGAGTTGAGTTTGGCCACCCAGTTATATGCAGGACTGATGGTCAGTCTCTCTGGCCTCCTGCCCCTGGCCTTCCGAAGCTGCCTGGCTCGGGTGCATGCAGGGACTTTACAGCCTCCATTCACTGCCAGGTTCCTGCGCAACTTGGCACTGCTGGTGGGGTGGGAACAGCAGGGTGGTGAGGGCCCTGCAGCTCTGGGGGCCCGGTTTGGTGAGTCTGCCTCAGCGCATTTGTCTGACCTGGCTCCTCTCCTGCTACATCCTGAGGAGGAAGTAGCTGAAGCTGCTGCCTCCCTCCTGGCCATTTGTCCCTTTCCTCTAGAAGCCTTGTCCCCCTGCCAACTCTTGGGACTGGTGAGGGCTGGGGTGCACCGCTTCTTTGCCTCTCTGAGGCTACATGGCCCCCCAGGTGTGGCCTCAGCCTCCCAGCTTCTCACTCGCCTCTCTCAGACCTCCCCAGCTGGGCTCAAGGCTGTCCTGCAGCTGCTTGTTGAGGGAGCCTTACACCGAGGCAACACAGAACTGTTTGGAGGGGAAGTGGATGGGGACAATGAGACTCTCTCAACTGTATCAGCTCCTTTGGCTTCTGCCTCCTTGTTGGACACTAACCGGCGGCACACTGCAGCTGTGCCAGGTCCTGGAGGGATTTGGTCAGTTTTCCACGCTGGAGTCATTGGCCGTGGCTTAAAGCCACCCAAGGTTGTCCAGTCACGAAATCAGCAGGAAGTGACCTATAACACCCAGAGCCTCCTCAGCCTCCTGGTTCACTGCTGCAGTGCCCCTGGGGGTGCTGAATGTGGGGGTTGTTGGGGAGCTCCCATCCTGAGCCCGGAGGCAGCCAAAGCAGTGGCAGTGACCTTGGTGGAGAGTGTATGTCCTGATGCAGCTGGTGCTGAGCTGGCCTGGCCCCCCGAGGAGCATGCCCGGGCCACTGTGGAGCGGGACCTCCGTATTGGCCGGCGCTTCCGGGAACAGCCCCTGCTCTTTGAGCTGTTAAAGTTGGTGGCAGCTGCTCCCCCAGCCCTGTGCTACTGCTCCGTGCTGCTGCGGGGGCTGCTGGCCGCCCTCTTGGGCCATTGGGAAGCCTCTCGCCACCCCGACACAGCCCACTCCCCCTGGCACCTGGAGGCGTCCTGTACCCTAGTGGCCGTCATGGCTGAGGGAAGCCTCCTGCCCCCAGCCCTGGGTAATATGCACGAGGTATTTAGCCAATTGGCACCTTTTGAAGTGCGTCTGCTGCTGCTCAGTGTCTGGGGCTTTCTGCGGGAGCATGGGCCCTTGCCCCAGAAGTTTATCTTCCAGTCTGACCGTGGGCGCTTCATCCGGGACTTCTCCAGGGAGGGTGGGGGTGAGGGTGGAGCCCATCTGGCTGTGCTGCACAGTGTCCTCCACCGCAACATCGACCGCCTGGGCCTTTTCTCTGGCCGTTTCCAGGCACCTCCACCGTCCAATCTCCTTCGGCAAGGGACATAGCCTTTTCTATACTCTGGAAGCCCAGGGAGATTAAGCAGTGAGAGAGAAGGGACTAAGGTGCTACGGAAGGGTGGAGGCTTCTCTTCTAAGTCCTTGGCCTAAAGAGCGCTGTCACTTTTTTCCTCCCCCACCTTTTTTTCTAAATAAAATTTGCCAAGTTGAGAAAACCAGTCCAGTACTTCTGCCTGATGCTGACAGCGAGCAAAGTCGGACAGCGACTGGCTCTGGAAGTTCCCGCCCCTGGCCTCAAGCCCCGCCCCTGGCTTCGCCGCCGCCAGCGTTCAGAGTGTGTACTCCGCCAATGAGACAGCCGCCCGGCCGCGCTCTGCCCGAGCCAATCACAAGGCCGGAAGGGGCGGGCCCTAGGGTACGTGGCTCAACGCGCGCGGTGGGAGGGGAGGTTCGGGGTCAAGGAGCAAAACCGGCACAAGATGGCGGCGGTAGCGGTGGCGGCGCATAGGAGGCGGTGAGGAGCCCGGAATCTGGGGGCGCGCCCGGGACGCCCCTAAATCCCCCAACCCCCATATCGCTCCTTCGTGTATGCTCCTGACACTCTGCCACCCCTGGCCTGGCGAGGAACCTGTGTTCCTCTGGAGGCAGCCTCAGTCACTTACAGTCTCCCCGCGGTAGATCCGCGCGATGCTGGGGGCCCTTACCTGTGGGGCTCCGAGCTCCTGCCCCGCAGCTCAAGAAGGCTGCAGCTGTGTGCCTTTCTTGGTTTTAGCCTTTCTCAGCCGCCGCCCTCCTCTGGCGGCTCGCGGCGCTCAACGCCGACGCCTCCTTCCTGCAGTGCGCGGGACCGTCGGGGCGGGGGACAAGACGCGGCCTGGTCTTGGGGAAGGCAGCCTGCTGCCCTGCGGCCCCTCAGCCTGCCTGGAAACACCGCGGCTGGCAGTTATGCCTGCACTATCCTTCTTGCCCTACCCCCCAGAGTCCTGGACCCTCTCCCTGCCCTGTCTTCACGTGGACGCCAGCCCTGGCTAGTTGAGTGTCCACGGTCGCTGGGCACGGCTGGGACAGGATCCAGTAAGTTCACAGTCAGCCTGGATCATGTTGCCCAAACACAAAAAATAGTGGAATGGTTTGGTCTCCAGTTTATATTACTGGGGGTAAAAAAAAAAAAAAAGAGGTTCGAAACACATCACTAGCGCCACAGAGTTTACTAGCACCTAACGGTTGTATTGGGGTGGGAGAGGCGTGTAATGTCCGAAGCAGTGAAAAAGCGTGGATCGTAAACTCAGCTCTCTGGGAGCCTGTGATATGAAACAATAAACAGGTGCAACTGGTCCTGCTGCTGATTCCTGACTTTGGCTTATGAACACCTCTTGTTTGGGGTGTGCAAGATGTTCCTGAGTTCCTAGGGCCTTCCAACAGGTCATATCTGAAAGATTCTTTAGAAATCTTATCCCCACTGGCATATCTCCAAACTAATTTTATAGATTGTGCAAATAGGCCCTAGAGGGTACTGTATTTCTGATTACTGCTGCTTTGGCCAGGTGGACATGGGTCAGTGGCCCAGGGTGCCTGCTGAAGTTCCTCAGTCATGCATGCCTTGCGATTGAGTTTTCTGGTAGCATTTCTTCTGCTTGTTTTGCAAGTACCTATTCCTGCTTGGCCTATTAAATTATGGGGCCTGGTGTTTTTCTCAGTTTTCTGTCTGGCCTGCTGTGGAGCAATCACTTGGCACATTCTTCTGGAGCTGGAGGGTTCACTGTTCTGTGATCTCCTTTCTGATAATTTTCTTTACCTTTAGCTTTCAAGCAGACACTGAGGCTAATCTAGATACCTAGATACAATGTGTATAGTAGACCCAGTCTTCAGTTACCTTATTATAGGTTGTAAAATTGTATTGCTTAGAAGAACCCCTCCCCTCTCCGAGTTTGGAACACTTTCCTGGACTGCCCACATCAGAGTTGCTGGGAGAGCATGTTTAAAATGCAGTGTTTGAGGTTTGGGAATCTTCATTTAGTAAGTACTGCAAGTTATTCTTAACAGATGCTAAAATTTAAGAACTGTTTAGGATTTACTCAGAATGGATGAATATATTCTTCAAACTTACTTGTGTAGCTAAGCCTATTAGTCCCCTTTCTGTCATTTGATAGCACATTGGAAAAAGTTGGGGAAGTGACTTTTTGTGATAACCTTGGGGTGATGGTCCTCCATGAGACATGCCCAGTTCATCCAGATAGTGATGGCTGTTTTGTATTGTGCTTTACGGTGAAGTACGTGGGCCCTAAAGTCAGGCAGAACTGGGTTGAATCCCAGTTTCAACTCTTCCTAGCTGGTTAATGTTGGGTGAATTATTGAACGTTTTGTACCTCAATTTTCCCATTTGGGAAAAAAACCCTAAGCCTATATTCACCAGGAAAACAATGAAATAAAAGGAAAAGAAGTAGTGCATGTAAAGAAGTGGTTCTGAACCCTGTTTGCCCATTAGAGTTGTTTAGGGAGCTTTTAAAAAACTGATGCCCAGACCCCTCCTCATGCCAATTAAGCCAAAATCTCTGGAGGTGAGACCAGAACACTAATACTTTTAAAAATTTCAGACCGAATTAAAAACTAGTGATAATAAAGCAGGTAGGCCTCCGGGAGTATATTGGGGCTCAATGCATTTTAGCTATTGTTACTCTTTTTGGCCTTGGGTAGTGATGGTGATGACTTGTTTTGAAGATACAGGAGTAGAGAGATCAGAGGAACAGGCTGCCTAGGGTGCAAGGGAAGTTAGGACCCTAGGAACTGTGACCAGCAGACTAGCTGAGGTTACATCTTTAACTTTTTGACTCTACATCCACCTGACGCCTTGCCCAGGGAAAGGCATAGCTTGCTTCGTGTCTCTCTTCCATACACATGGTACTACCATTTCCTCTGGGACTGTCACTGCTCCTTTCCTCTGAGAGGCTGATGTAACCAGAGTCAATACCAGGGCCTCTGAAGGCCAAAGATCCTTTGTCTACTTTTTCTGCCTTTCAAAGGGAAGGTGTGAGTGAGCCAACTCCTCAGTCCTGACCCTTAACCCCATTGTACTCTGCCTTCTTTTCTATTTTATGTGACTCCGTCTTTCTCCCCTCTTTCCTGAGCTGTCTTCTAGGACTCTGACAGGAAGAGGCCTTTAATTCCAAAGGTGGGGCCCTTCCTGACCCCTGTGCTGATGTTCCCTTTTTGTCCTTTTTCTTTTCCTAGGTCTTGGGCAGGTTTGGTACTGGCTTGTTTAGGGGTCTGCCTGGGGATTACCCTTGCTGTGGATAGAAGCAACTTTAAGACCTGTGAAGAGAGTTCCTTTTGCAGGTATGATATGTCTGGGAGAATGAGATGGAAAGTAGTATAATGTGGGAGGTCTATGACAGATGGAGTAGCTTGAGGACACTGCTGGTGATAGAGGGACCTAGGGATATTGTGGGTGCCCCTGTTGCCCCATCTTACTTCCTAACTGTTCCACTTGGCAGGCGGCAGCGAAGCATACGGCCAGGCCTCTCTCCATACCGAGCCTTGCTGGACTCTCTGCAGCTTGGTCCTGATTCCGTCACAGTCCATCTGATCCATGAGGTCACCAAGGTCAGGCAAGACAAGGAGGAGGGATAGGAAATGGCTGAGGGGTAATTTGGGAAGGGGAAACCTATAGCCAACATCTGTCCCAGCCTAATCTTGGGACTTTTACTTGGTGAAGAAATCTGATCACAGGTTCCTTAGACAAAGGGCTTAAAGGAGGGGACCCCTCTGAAGGGAATGGGTTCAGAGGGCATTTCATGGTTTAGTCCCTCTCCTTTCTCCAGATCCAAACGTTTGTCCCCACAGGTGTTGCTGGTGCTGGAGCTCCAGGGACTTCAAAAGAACATGACTCGAATCAGGATTGATGAGCTAGAGCCCCGGAGACTCCGATACCGCGTGCCAGATGCTTTGGTGGCTGATCCCCCCACAGCTCGGTAAATTTTTCCTAAGAAACATATCCATCTCCATGGCCCTTTTTTTGGTGGCTGACTTTCTTTTCCACATTAGGGTAATATTTGACTAGCACCTCACCACTCCTCAACCTGTCCCCATCTCTCCCTCTGTTTCCCTTACTTTCTCTTTTACCCTTTATCTGCATTCATTTAGCAAACAGGTATTGCTGCTGCTTCTGTGCCAGGCCTGGGCTAGGTGCCGGTGATACAAGAGGGAATAAACCAGGCATAGATCTTGCCCTCTGTGTGTCCCTGCTTGGTTCCTCCCCCTCCCTCTCCTCTTTTTCTTTTTCTTTTCTCTTACTTCCTTCCCTCCCTTTTTCTCAAATACTCAGAATAGGATTACTCGGATTCTTGAATCATGACACCCTGTCTTCATTGTTCCATGCATGGCTTTCTCTTAAGTACTGAAGAAAAAAAATGTAGTAAACATTCCACTCTGTAAACTCTCCCCTCAGCCCAACCATATGCTCCTCACTGTAGTGTACCATTGACTCTGCCAGAGGTAATCTTTATTCTGAAGTTTATCATCCTCTTGCTTTTTCTAGTTTGTACAGTTGTATCTTGTGTATATGTGTATATACGTATATATATGTGCACATATGTGTCTATGTGTCTAAGCAATATGTTATGTGGCTTTATTTGTTTTTGAGCTATTAAGGGAAAGGATCTTAGTGAATGTGGTCTTCTGGGATTTCCTTATTTCCACATAACTTTAATTCTGTTGCATGTAACTTCAGTTTATTCATTTTTAATGCTGCATAATATTATGTTATATGAATATACCCCAACTTTTTAATATTTATCCATTTCTATGTTGATAGGCATTTGGGTTGTTTCCAGTGTTTTGCTATCCAAAGTGCTGGCATGAACATTCTTATGCATGTCCCCGATTATCCTTGTGCAGGAGTTTCTCTTTGGTATTTAGCCAGGAAAGGAACTGCAGTGTTATAGAATATTGAGATGATCAACTTTCCAAGATAAAGCGAAAGTGATTTATGAGAGGCCTCATTGATCTACATCCTTTGCAACACTTAGTACTGTTGGACTTAATTTTTGTCAGTAGGTAGAGTGGGTATAAAATGGTATCACCTAGTGGTCTTGGCTTGCTTGTCTTTCCCAGTTTATTAATGAGAAAGAGCACCGCTCTATATGTTTGTCATTCTGATCACTGTTCTGTAAAATGGTAGTTCACAACTTATGCCCATTATTCTTTTAAATTTGTTCTTATTGATTTATAGAATTCGTTAAATAGTGTTAATACTGATTCTTTAGCACTTACATGGATTACAGCTATCTTTCACATGGTTGTAGCTTATTTTTTTACTTTCCTAAAGGTGTCCTTAAAAAAAACCAACTTTTTGTTTTAGAGTAGTTTTAGTTGCAAGGAAAGTTAGTTATAGGAAAATTGCAAGAATATTATGAGAGTTCCTGTGTGCCCTGCACCCAGTTTCCCCTGTTGTTAACATTACTGTGGTTGATTTGTCCCATACCTAATGAGCTGATAGTGATACATTATTATTAACTAAAGCCCATATTTTACTTAGGTTTCCTTAGTTTTTACCTAATATTTTTTTTCTATTCTAGGATCCCATACAGGATACCCTATTACATTTAGTTGTCATGTGTCTTTAGGATTTCTAGACTGACTTTCCGTGTTGTTTTTTTTTTTTGAGACAGACTCTCTCTGTTGCCCTGGCTAGGGTGAGTGCCGTGGCATTAGCCTAGCTCACAGCAACCTCAAACTCCTGGGCTCAAGCGATCCTTCTGCCTCAGCTTCCCGAGTAGCTGGGACTATAGGCATGCACCACCATGCCCGGTGAATTTTAGTTGTCCAGCTAATTTCTTTCTATTATTTTTAGTAGGGGTCTCGCTCTTGCTCAGGCTGGTTTTGAACTCCTGAGCTCAAATAATCCGCCCGCCTCAGCCTCCCAGAGTGCTAGGATTATAGGCGTGAGCCACTGTGCCCGGCCTGACTTCCCTTGTTCTTGATGATCATAAGGGTGTCTTTTGATAAATAGACATTCCTAATTTTTTTTTTTTTTTTTTTTTTTTTGAGACAGTTTTGCTCTGTTGCTGGAGTTAGAGTGCAGTGGCACGATCATAGCTCACTGCAACCCCAAACTCTTGGGCTCAAGCGATCCTCCTGCTTCAGCCTCTTAAGTAGCTGAGACTATAGGCATGTGCCACCATGCCTGGCTAATTTTTCTGTTTTTCGTAGAAATGAGGTCTTGCTCTTTCTCAGGCTAGTCTTGAACTCCTGGCCTCAAGCAATCCTCCTGCCTCAGCCTTCAGAGTGCTAGGATTATAGGCATGAGCCATTGTGCCCTGCCAACATTCCTAATTTGTCAACTTTATCATGTATTAGTCTTTTACTTTTTTTTTTTTTCCCCCCTCTTTTTGGAACTCTAACCTGTTAGATATATTATTCTTTTACCTTCTGGTGTTAGCCTTTTCTGTGTTGTGTTTAAATAATCCTTCTCTACCTCAAGATCAGAAAAATTTGTTTATGTTTTCTTCTAAAGCTTTGCTTTTAAGTTTTAAGTCATAATCTTTCTGGAGTTTATATCTGGTAAGACGTAGGAATATATTATTTTTTTCGTATGTCAAAAATCTATTTTTCCAACTCCGTTATTGAATAGTCCTTTCTTCACTGATCTGACATGCCACCTCTATTACATTTCAAAGTAAGTATGCATGGGTCTGTTTCCAGGCTCTTTATTTGATCAATATTCTGGGTTCCTTTGATCAATTTGTCTATCCCTGCACTGTTACCACAGTGCCTAGTGCTCTTAGCAGGTCCCCCCTTCTTCTGAAGTGTAATGACCACTCTTGGCCCTTTGCACTTCCTTATATTCCTTTCAATCCCTTTCCCAGGCTTTCTGTCTCTGGCCGTGATGACAACAGTGTGGAGCTAACGGTGGCCGAGGGACCCTACAAGATCATCTTGACAGCGCGGCCATTCCGCCTTGACCTACTAGAGGACCGCAGCCTTTTGCTCAGTGTTAATGCACGAGGACTCTTGGATTTTGAGCACCAGAGGGCTCCCAGGGTCTCGTGAGTACAGGGGTTGGGACTGCAGGTTGCCTAGTGTGAAACAGCCTAGGGGTGTTGTGGGGTCTGGCATTGGGTTCCTGGGAGGAGACAGGGTGGCAGGACAGCAAGGTAGGGGCTGGGGACAGGGAGAGGCTATCTGTTAGGGAGGGTAGAAACCAGACCTGGGATACAGTTTTCTCCATTTCCTGTACAGATCAGGAAGCAGTCACTTTTGTCCCTGAGCTGTACCCTGGGCATCTCGATCTCTGGGAGGCCCGCCTGGGTCTACCTCTCCCTGTTCCCCTTCTCATATCATCACATTTCCCAGATTTGTTTTCTTCCTTTTTATTTTTTATTTTTTTGGTTTCTTTTTCCCCCATCTCTGGAAGTTTGTCCACTGAAATTCACTTTTATGTTTCTGTTTTTGTGTTGGTTTTGTGCCTCCTTTTCCCCTTCCCTACCCATCTCCTCCTGCCCTAGTTTCTCAGATAAAGTTAGTCTCACGCTCGGTAGCATGTGGGATAAGATCAAGAGCCTTTTCTCTAGGTAAATCCACGGCCACTGGTACTGTATCTGTTCCTCTGCCCTTACCCACCCTTCACTCTGGCCCACAGGGGAATGGGCCCCAGACCCTTCCATGCCTTGCCCTTCACTCAGCCCCCTTTTCCCAGCTATGCGCTATCTGTTCCCCTGTTTTCTGTTCCTGGCTGGGAGCCCCCTGAGAGAAGGAAAATAAAATGTTGGAAGTCTATAAAGAACACAGGAAGCTTATTGCTTTGCCAAGGGGTGGGCAGAGAGATGCTGCCTATTGCTGGGGTTCCTGGCTCTCAGCTGGGGTGCGGCTGAGGTTCTGGGCAGAGCTGCTTGCCAGCTGCCCTTGAGAGCATTCTTTGGCAGAACCTTTTGAAGTCTCTGTGTATATCTTTAGAGGCTTGGTATAGTATGACCCACTTGCCTTTGCAAAACCCTTGTGTCAGGCCAGGAGGCTGAGGCCTAGTGAGGGCATTTGGGGCCAGAGTCACTCAGTGGAGGCAGCAGAGCCAGGATTAGCATTCAGAACCCAGGCGCCTGAACCATCCTGCCTGTCTCTTCTGGGATGCTGGCAGAGGCTGTTATTTGGGCCTGTGTGTGGAAAGCACCTCCTGGTGGCATTTACTCCTCATTTCCCTTTCTCATTTCTCTCCCCATTCTTTACCAACTTATCTGCTCACTGGGGTCCCTCTCCAAGCTTTAACATTCAGTCCCTTCTTCCAATGCCTTCGTTCCTTTGGACCCTTGGCTCTCTATTCCCCTACCCCTCCTTCCACTAGCCCCTCATCCCTGCCCCCTCTGGATTGGAGCAGACAGCTCTCCTACCTTCCAGGCAAGGATCAAAAGACCCAGCTGAGGGCGATGGGGCCCAGCCCGAGGAAACACCTGGGGATGGTGACAAGGCAAGTCGGGTGGGTGGGCAGGGGGGTGTTTGAAGGATAGGGTTGGCTGGGAGGTTGGATGGAAATGGCCCACAAGAAACTTGAGCTTAGTCTTGTCATCATGGATGGGATTTAGAAAACGGGAGTAGGAAGAGAGAGAACTGGTGTATGATTGGGTAGTGGTCCATTTTCTTCCTTACAGCCAGAGGAGACCCAGGGGAAGGCAGAGAAAGATGAGCCAGGAGCCTGGGAGGAGACGTTCAAAACACACTCTGACAGCAAGCCGTATGGTGAGGGGCTGGGAGAGCCTTGGGCAGGGGTACAGGGAGTCCTTGCCAAGCAGCAGCTCTGGAGCTTGTCCTTTGCTTTTGTTTCTCCCAGGCCCCATGTCTGTGGGTTTGGACTTCTCTCTGCCAGGCATGGAGCATGTGTATGGGATCCCTGAGCATGCAGACAACCTGAGGCTGAAGGTTACTGAGTGAGTCCCACGGTGACGTCAGGATTGGGAGTGGTGGGGCAAGAAGAAATCAGGGCTTTGGGAAGATGTGCATGAAGATTGTTCCTCCAGACAAGCCTGGATCATTTCCTGTGCCTGGATCACCTTTGGTGATCAGAAAAGTCATCTTTTAGAAAGGGCAGAGGAGCCAGTTCATATCTCTTACCTGTGTCTGTGGGGTGGGGGTCGCATATGCCACAACCTGGGGCGAGTTATCAGCCCAAGTCTGTCTGTCTGCCTGCAGGGGCGGGGAGCCGTATCGCCTCTATAATTTGGATGTGTTCCAGTATGAGCTGTATAACCGTATGGCCCTGTATGGGTCTGTGCCTGTGCTCCTGGCACACAACCCTCATCGTGACTTGGGCATCTTCTGGCTCAATGCTGCAGAGACCTGGGTTGATATATCCTCCAACACTGCAGGGAAGGTGAGAGCACAGGTGCAGGGAGAAAGGACAGAGTGAGCCTTCCAGGCCTTGAGACAAATGGGTATGCTAGGGACATTAGTTTCGAAGAACCTGGGAAGATAGCCTATTTGGGGACTGGGTGAAAGAAGGGGCCCTGGGCCTGATGTGTGCAGCATTTTAGTTCCCCAGTCACTCCCAGAAGACACAGACTCATGGGGAAGGCATTGCCCTTTCTGGACTGAGGGGATACACTTATTATCAGTACATTCTGTGCTAGGCACTCTTCTAGGTGCTGGGGATATAGTACTAACCAAGATTGGAAAGGTCCTGACTCCCAGGGAGGAAGACAGATGTTAATCAGGTAACAAAGAAGGCAAGATGAGTTCGGGGGTGGTAAGTGCTAACAAAGACTTGAAATGTTCATGGGGTGGGGGTGGGGGCTGTTTTGCTTTAGACAGTGTGGTCCAGGAAAGCCTCTGTGAGGAGGCGACCTTTAATTTCAACCAAAGTGACTCACAGGAGCCAGCTGTGTGGATTCTGAGGAGAAAACTGTGGCTTTAAACTTGTCGTTGGATGAGAGGGCTGGTGACTGACCTCTCTCTGGTTCCCTATACAGACCCTGTTTGGGAAGATGCTGGACTACCTACAGGGTTCTGGGGAGACCCCACAGACAGATGTTCGCTGGATGTCAGAGACTGGCATTATTGATGTCTTCCTGCTACTTGGGCCCTCCATCTCTGATGTCTTCCGGCAGTATGCTAGTCTCACAGGTACATGTGTTCCCATTCTGTTGGCTGACAGCCTCATTTTTCTGCCCTTTTCTTTCTGAGAGGGTGATTCTACGCGTTTTCAGAGGTCCTGTGCCCCAGCTTGTACCCTTCAGTTTCTGGGTGTGATCCCCATTGTGACCCCATCCCTTGATGAACCTGCAGGGACCCAGGCATTGCCCCCGCTCTTCTCCCTGGGCTACCACCAGAGCCGCTGGAACTACCGCGATGAGGCTGATGTGCTGGAAGTGGATCAAGGATTTGATGATCACGGCCTTCCCTGCGATGTCATCTGGCTGGACATTGAACATGCTGATGGCAAGCGGTACTTCACCTGGGATCCTAGCCGTTTCCCTCAGCCCCGCACCATGCTTGAGCACTTGGCCTCCAAGAGGCGGAAGGTAAGATGCTTGGTTTTCTCAGGCTAAGGCTGAGGCATAATAGCCCTAGAGAGCTGTGACCACCCACTTTCCTTGCCCCCAGCTGGTGACCATTGTGGACCCCCACATCAAGGTGGACTCTGGCTACCGAGTTCATGAAGAGCTGCGGAACCTAGGGCTGTACATTAAAACGCGGGATGGTTCTGACTATGAGGGCTGGTGCTGGCCAGGTAGGCAGGCCCAGAATTGGCGATTGGGAGGCTAGGGATATAGAGTGGTGGCTCTTTTGCCCCTTAGAGGGTTTACAGCCACCATTAACCTCTTCCAGGCTCAGCTAGTTACCCTGACTTCACCAATCCTACCATGAGGGCCTGGTGGGCAAACATGTTCAGCTATGACAATTACGAGGTAGGGAAGGCCTTGCCCCGTGACTTGCATCTGTCTTTCCCACCCTGCTTCCCTGAATCAGTCTTTCTCTGCTTGCCAACCCTGCTTTGGTTGATTGCCTATAATGTGTCAGGGGGCCTTGATGATCCTGGTGGGGCCCTGAAAAATGCATCTTTCTAGATTTTTAGGAGCTTTCTGCTCTAACACGGTGTTCTTCCTCCCCTCTGTCTTTCTGGCCCCATTTTCTGCCTGTGTTCCCAGGGCTCAGCTCCCAACCTTTATGTCTGGAATGACATGAATGAACCATCTGTGTTCAACGGTCCTGAGGTCACCATGCTCAAGGATGCCCAGCATTATGGGGGTTGGGAGCATCGGGACCTGCATAACATCTATGGCCTCTATGTGGTAAGGGGCTGAGCCAAAAGAGTTGGTGGAAAGAGAGAAAACAGGGCCCAGAGACTGAGGCCCAGGGAACTTGCAGATGACAGCTGGCTTCTGCTCCTCACTCTTCCTCTTCTCTCTTTTCCCCACCCAGCACATGGCAACAGCTGATGGGTTGACACTGCGCTCTGGGGGCATAGAACGCCCCTTTGTCCTGAGCAGGGCTTTCTTTGCTGGCTCCCAGCGCTTTGGTAAGATCTGGAAAATGGAGCTGTGGCAGAATGGTGTGAAGGCCAGATTGCAGGACCCATGGACCTGGGCCTGGCTCTCTGAGGAATCTTTCCACGCAGCTGTCTTCTGAGAGCTGCACACTGCATCCTCCCAGCTGTGCACTCTAAGGGAAGCCAGGAGTGGGAGGTCTAGTCCCTGTTCAAGTGTTCTTGTGAACTCTGCCATCTTTAGCAGGGTCCTAGGGGCCCTAGAATAGATGTGGCAGATCAGAGAGGTCAGCTATATAAAAGGCTAAGCCCCTTCACTATGTGCAAGCTTCCACCCCCTTGTCTTCCTTAGGAGCCGTGTGGACAGGGGACAACACTGCTGAGTGGGACCATTTGAAAATCTCTATCCCTATGTGTCTCAGCTTGGGGCTGGTGGGACTTTCCTTCTGTGGGGGTAAGTGGGGGAGGAATTTGGGATCTTGGTTTGGTGGGAGAGGGACAGAGTAGAGGGCACAGGACCTAGGCATGAGCAAAGAGCTGAGAGTCCACGGTGACACCCTGGGAAGCTCTTCAGGCAGCATCTCTTTTCCAACCTGCTTTCTCCCTCCCCTCTCTCAGCGGATGTGGGTGGCTTCTTCAAAAACCCAGAGCCAGAGCTGCTTGTACGCTGGTACCAGATGGGTGCTTATCAGCCATTCTTCCGAGCACATGCCCACTTGGACACTGGGCGACGAGAGCCGTGGCTGTTACCATCTCAGCACCGTGACATAATCCGAGATGCCTTGGGCCAGCGGTATTCCCTGCTGCCCTTCTGGTACACCCTCTTCTATCAGGCCCATCGTGAAGGCATTCCTATTATGAGGTGAGGCATTCAGTTGGGTCTTTGGAGAATGGGCTGAGGTGGTTGGGGGACATAAGGGACTGGGCTGCATCTCTGGGTCTCTTCACTCACCAGGGCATTGTAAAGGAGGGAATCTGATTTCAAAGTCAAGAGTGAAGGGGAAGGCCGGGCGCGGTGGCTCACGCCTGTAATCCTAGCACTCTGGGAGGCCAAGGCGGGCGGATCGTTCTGAGCTCAGGAGTTCGAAACCAGCCTGAGCAAGAGCGAGACCCTGTCTCTACCAAAAAATGGAAAGAAAGTAATTGGACAGCTAAAAAAATATATGTAGAATAAATTAGCCGGGCATGGTGGCGCATGCCTGTGGTCCCAGCTACTCAGGAGGCTGAGGCAGTAGGCTCGCTTGAGCCCAGGAGTTTGAGGTTGCTGTGAGCTAGGCTGATGCCGCGGCACTCGCTCCAGGCAAGAGAGTGAGACTCTGTCTCAAAAAAAAAAAAAAAGAGTGAAGGGGAAGGCTGGGCGCAGTGGTTCACGCCTGTAACTAGCACTTTGGGAGGCTGAGACAGGAGTATCACTTGAAGCCAAGAGTTTGAGACCAGCCTGGGCAACACAGCAAGACCCCATCTCTATAAAAAATAGAAAAAAACTAGCTGGGTGTGGCGGCACACACCTTTAGTCCCAGCTACTCAGGTGGCTGAGGTAGGATTCCTTGGGCCTAGGAGTTTGATATTGCAGTGCGCTGTGATCATGCCGCTGCACTCTAGACCAGGCAACAGAGCAAGACCCTATCTCAAAAAAAAAAAAGTGGAGGGGGGACTATCAGGGATGAATAATAGCAGTAAACATCTAAAGAAAACTGCCAACAGTCACAAGCTCTTCGACAAAAATAAAACAGAGTAATGGATACCTTTCCATAGGTAAACTTAAAAAAACAAAACAGGGTAATAGGATTAGGTGGTCTCAAAAAGCCTTTTTGGGAAGGCCACGTGAGATGAAGCCTGAATGATGAGTGAGAGACTTTTGTGACGTAGAGGAAGAATGTTCTAAGCAGAAGGGACTGCAAGTGGAAAAATCTAAAGTGAAAATGAGGTTGTTATTTTCCAGGAATAGAAAGCAGCCAGTGTGTCTTGGGTACAGTACCAGAGGGAGAGCTAGGAGTTGAGATTAAGAGGAAAATGTGGAGTTAGGCTGGGAAGGGGGTTAAAAAAAAAAAGGAAAATATGATGTGCTCCTGGAAGGCCTTGCAGGCCAGGGCAATGAGAATTGTGTGAGGAGGCCTCAGACAGGCTGTTGTTCGTAACCGTTTGAGGAGGGAGCAGGGAAGAAGAGGCAGTGATGGCTTAGGAAGTTCAATGACCAGGGTTGGGTTGCATAGCCGAGGCCTCAACCCTGACCAGACTGACTGGATGCAAGCTCCTGGGTCTTCATCTGTGCTATTTTTATTGCCAATTCTTGACTTTGATTTCTATCAAAATGGAAATGTCTTCCTTTCTTGTCTTGTTTCATCCCTAGGCCCCTATGGGTGCAGTATCCTCAGGATGTGACGACCTTCAGTATAGATGATCAGTTCCTGCTTGGTGAGAAATGGGGAGGACAGCTGGTGGGGGATTGGCATTGGGCTAAGAAGCACTTGTGGGAACTTTGTCTGCAAATGCCCAGGGAGGGAGGAGTGAGTGAGGCTGGTGGTGCAAGGAGTAGGCGCTTTCATGTTCCCTGCTCTGGGATCCCCACAGTTCAGAGTTGATTCTGCTGTGTTTTAGGGGATGCATTGCTGGTTCACCCTGTATCAGACTCCGGGGCCCATGGTGTACAGGTCTATCTGCCTGGCCAAGGGGAGGTGAGTTAAGGAAGGGCATGGTGGAGAATGATGGTGGAAGTCAAAGGGGGCAAACAGGATGGTGCCCTGTGTACTGAGTGACCCTGGTATCTTACCCCTTCTCTCACCCACAGGTGTGGTATGACGTTCAAAGCTACCAGAAGCATTATGGTCCCCAGACTCTGTACCTTCCTGTAACTCTAAGCAGTGTGAGTATGCCTGGCCTAGCTGCCAGCTCCATCTGCTTGTAAGTTTCCAGAAGGGGGAGAGAAAATTGTGCTTTAGGGTCCAGTACTTAAGTGGGCACAGATGGGCAAGAGCAAAAAAATGCTATGGGGCCCAAGGTTGGACAACGGGGCGACTTCATCCCAGCACTGCTCTTGCCCTAGATACCTGTGTTCCAACGTGGTGGGACAATTGTGCCTCGATGGATGCGAGTTCGGCGTTCTTCAGACTGTATGAAGGATGACCCCATCACTCTCTTTGTTGCACTCAGCCCCCAGGTGAGTGCACAGGCAGGGAGCTTCCTCAGCCATGCCTGCCTTCCTAGGATTCAGTCCCCTGGGGTTGTACCCCTCACTTCCTCTTGGGCTCAGGCACTGACCTATCCCACTTGCTGCTCAGGGTACAGCCCAAGGAGAGCTCTTTCTGGATGATGGGCACACGTTCAGATATCAGACTCACCATGAATTCCTACTGCGTCGATTCTCATTCTCTGGCAACACCCTCGTCTCCAGGTAATGGGGTACCCATTCTTTGTTGGCTGCCTCCAGAGGGGGTTGGACCTCAGGACCACAGGTCCACTGTGTTCTTTTCTCACATCCTGACCTTGCTTTGGCTCTCCTCCTTCTGCTGGGACATTTCCTCCCCTGATAGGCATCTGCTTTTGCCACCTCTAGCTCAGCAGACCCCAAAGGCCACTTTGAGACACCAATCTGGATTGAGCGGGTGGTGATAATAGGGGCTGGAAAGCCAGCAGCTGTGGTACTCCAGACAAAAGGTGAGCGACTGATCTGGCCCAGGATGGGGAAAGGGGAAGCAGGGGCAGGATTGAGGATGGTCTTGCCTGTAGGAATGTAGTTGCTATGCAATAGCCTGTTGCTATGACTGTGGCACTCCTTTTTCTTCCTCTCCTAGGATCTCCAGAAAGCCGCCTGTCCTTCCAGCATGACCCTGAGACCTCTGTGTTGACCCTGCGCAAGCCTGGTGTCAATGTGGCATCTGACTGGAGTATTTACCTGCGATAACCCAAAGGATGTTCTGGGTTGTGGGGAGGGGAGCGGTGGTGGTGAGAGTTACTCTTTCTTCTGCCTTGGAGTTTGACTCTCCCCAGACTTCACCTTTCTTATCCCAAGACCCAGATTCTGCCAACATTTGGGCAAGATGAGAGGGCTGACCCTGGGTTCCAAATTCCTTTTGTAATCTGACCTCTCCCACTCCTTTGATACCAAGCCTTTTCCCTCCATGTGCCCAACCTCATCCTGTTGCTCTAATTGGAGCACATTCACTTGTGAAGACCTGAGGACCATAGGGCCCTTACCACCTCTTCTCTTTCCCTTCTTTGGGGGCCCTGAATCTCCCCCAGACCCTATCCATTCATGCCTCTTGTGTGTTAATGCCATTTCTTGGAAGAAGATGAGGGCAGTTAGCTTTAGGGCTCCTTTTCTCCTTTTTCTTCTCTCCCCACCGGAACTGCTCTCCCTCCTTTTATTTCTTCCTCCTGGCTGTACTCTGTCAGTCCTCCCCATTCTATACCCCACTGATACACTGGGACCACCCCTTACCTGGTAAGGGATGAGTGGATCAAAGGAGTGGGGTTGCTGGAGAACCTTTTCCCTCTCATTTCAACCTTTTCCCCTCCCCAATTCCTTCTAGAGCTGCTGCAGTTCTGACAGGGGCAATTCTGCCTCCCCTGTCCATTGGGGGAAAGAAGTTTCCACCCTTCCTTCAGAGGGGATGGGCATTAAACTTCCTTTGCTCCCTTCTTGTCCCCTTTGAGGGGCATTCAAGATGGAGAAATCAGTTGTGGTTTCATTGAATCATGGTTACCTGTATTTATTGCTGGGAGAAGGCTGGGGGTGGGGGGAGATGATCATGTGTGCCTAGGGTTGGCCTGAAGCCCTGGGTGAGGAGTGGGGAGGACTAATGGGGAACTAGGGGGAATATTTGGGGGATTTTTTTTTTTACTTCCTCTTGGCCCCCAGCTGTGACAGGTTTTGATAAAAGGAGAAACAATAAAGGGATAAACTATAAATAACTCAGGTGTCTGGATTCTGGTTCTAGCCTTAGCCATAGACCATAGAAGCCCAAGGGCCTGACATTTTCATCTGGCTTCAGCATAAGCATCATTGATTCAGCAAAATGAGCAAGTTCAGGCCTTCCTCAGCTTACTGAGCAAGTTCAGGCCTTCCTCAGCTTACTAGATGCAGATATTTTCATAGAAGAGCCCAGCAAGGTCATCGCGTTTTAGTAGGCCTTGTTAGTAGGTGGTGATGAGAGCCATAGGATCTTGGATAGAAACAGCTGTAAGGTCAAATGTTCTCACACTGAAGCCTCCTTCTTTCTAGTTAATGGCACTTTTACAAATTTCCCATTGTTTTAGTGACAGGAAATAGTTTCCTCTATTTTATAGACTGACCACAAGGCCTAGAGATTATTTTACAAGAAAATGGGGGGTTTTTTGGTGGTTTGTTTTTTTTTTCACTCAGACTATCTTCCATACCAGGAAAAACTGGGTTTTTGTTTTGATTTATTTTTGTTTTTTTAGGAAAAATGACTGCTAAGGATGGCTTGTGCTTGTGAGGAAGTAGGGAATGAGTTTATGGAATTCCCCAGCTAAGGAAATATTTCCAATCAATTCCCTGGGAGGTAGCCCCGAGTGCCTTGGCACCCTCATTGTTATATGTTGAAGAAATGTGGGCCAGAGGAACAGTACACATCCTGGAATCAGGTGTCTATGTCTAGAAGGAATACAGAAAATGGCCCCATGGTAATGACATAGTTTTTGTCAACCTTAATTTCTCATCTATAAAATGGGAACAATACCTCTTATCCGGTGCTGTGACTGCTGGATAGATGCATAAGGAGAAAACCGCCGCAGGGACTGGGTTTCTCAGGCAATTTTGTGTTAAAGGGGCGGTTCGAGGTAGGTCCCACGTGCTCCCACCCGGGCTTCTGACTGCCGGCCACGCGCACTTGACACGCCGGATATGACGTCGCCGTTCCGTGGTTCCGGGAACCAGGCGGTGGGATGGAAAATTAACTTGAGGAAGGGGCACTAGATGACCGGAAGTGGGTCCCGGGCGGCGCTGCCGGCCCCTTCTCCCGGGAGCAGGTCGAGGAGCGCGAGGAAGGCGGGACGCGGGGCGGGGCCGCTGCAGGGGCGGGGCCTGCGGGCGCGCGAGGGGCGGGGACCCCTCGTCCCCTCCCCAGCCAGCCTGCTCGGGCGCCCGCGGCGGCCCGGCCATGAAGCTGAAGCTGAAGAACGTGTTCCTCGCCTACTTCCTGGTGTCGATCGCGGGCCTCCTCTACGCGCTGGTGCAGCTCGGTGAGCGGGGCGGGGCGGGGGTGCGGCGGGCCGGCCCCAGGGCGCCCGCTGTCTTGCATCCCGCCCTGGGGATGAATCCCCGGCAGACACCATTCATCCCGCTCGGCCCTCGGGACAGCCCTCTGCGGCCGGTCGCGGGCGCTCTCCCCTCTCTAGAACGCTCCGCGGCTTCCCGCCGCACCTCGGATGAAATCCGGACTCCTTCCCAGAGCCTGCAAGGCCCTGCATGTTCCTGCCGCTGTCTGCCTTTCCAACCCCATTCCCCACTCCTCTCCCTCGCTCTGCTCCAGCCAGACTGGCTTCTTGACAGTTTCTCGAAAACCCCACGCTCATTGCTCTCTCAAGCTCTTAACCTGTTCCCTCTGCCTGCGGTGCTTTTCTCCCAGCTCTTCCCGGGCTCATCCTTCAGGTCTTAGCTGAAATGTCACCACCTCAGAGAGGCCTTCCCTGACCACGAAGCTAAAGAAACCCTTCTTATTCCTGATTCCCTTTTATTCTCTATCCTTTTTATTGTCTTCATGGTCCTTATCGCAATTTGTAATGGTTTTATTAATTTGTTTCTCTGATTAGTGTCTGCTTCCTCCACTAAACTGAAAGCTTCATGAGGGCAGGGACGATGTCTGTTTTGTTCCCTGCTGTATCCCCAGCACCTAAGGCAGTGTCTCCTAGGAGTATTCAATAAATATTTATCCAATGGTGGAATCGATGAATTTAATGATGGGGTCTTTGGTCAAACAGCCAAGGAAACAGACTGAACCCTGCCTCTTATATAGGGATTTAGGGACAGTGCCAATTTGTGATCCTCAGGTATTGGGTCATTAAATATGAAATGTCCGATTTTGAATCAAAAGTGGTTTTTTGTTTGCTTTTTGAGACAGAGTCTCACTCTGTTACCCAGACTAGAGTGCTGTGGGATCAGCCTAGCTCACAGCAACCTCAAACTCCTGCCCTCAAGCAATCCTTCTGCCTCAGCCTCCC